TATGGGTGGATAGCGCTTGGTGGAACGATTTGTGGAATACGTCAGTGGATGTAGTGGTTGAGTAGGGTACCGGGGGGTGGCTACGCAATTGTAGATGGTGGCGGGAACTAATTTGGATCTGATTTGTGGCTGAAAATGGTGGTGGTGGAGGCGGTGAATGGTGGCAGTGGAGGGGAGATATGCTGTGCGGTGTGGTGGTGGGAACGGAGATCAGATCTGTTGTTGGTGGAGGATCTATATGTTGACGAATCTGTTGGTGGTGGTCTGGACTAATCTGTAGTGGTTTGGGTGGTGGTTGTTGGTGTTATTATTGGTGGATGGTTGTGGCCGTGGAGGTAGTGGCGGTGGCAGGGATGCGACGAAGAATGTCTGTGACCAATGGTGGTGGTGGATTTGGATCGGGGACAGTGTGTTTGGGTGTATGTGACCAATTATATGGTTCTCTGCGACTTTAAAATTGAAATTACGTGACATGTGACATATAATTTTATTGATTTGTGACCAATAAAATATTCTGTGACCTATAAAATTTTAGATGCCGTGACCTCGAAATAATCCGTGACCTACAAAATTTTTGATATGTGACCAATGAAAAAATTGTGACCTATAAAATTTTAGATCTGTGACGTCGAAATAAAATGTGACCTACAAAATTTTGATCTGTAACCGGAGAATAGTCGCCGGAGTGGTCGTCGGAGCAGAGGTGGCATGGGGGTGGGGTGGATTAATTATATTATATTACAGTTAAATATTTAATTTAATATAATAATTGTAAAATATAATTAATTAATTCATGAAAAATTTGATTTTTGCAATTTTAAGTTTTGGGACCTGATTTTTGATTTTGGGATAGATAAAGTCCGAGTTGTAAATTTTTCCCTAAAATTTGGTTGTTGCCTGCTGATGGATTATGGAAATGGGTTGTTGCCTTTTGGTGGGTCATGAGCAAAGTTATTTTTAGTGCAACTTACAAAAAATACTCTTAAAATTAGGGATTTTTTGAAAAAACATATAAAAGTATTTTGAAATTAAAAAATAATAAATAAAATTAAATGCCAATTTTTAATAATAAAAAAAAAGTGACACAATGTCACTTTTTAAAGTTAAATGTTTTTTTAATTTATTAAAATATACATACAATGACAAAAATGATGTTTGTCACTCAAAAAAAATGACAAAAAAAAAAGTGATAGAAAAAAGTGACAAACATTTTAAAAAATGACAAAAATTCAAAAAAAAAAAAAGTGACAGAACTTAAAAAAAGTGACAAACATTCAAAAACGTGGCAAAACACTAATCAAAATTTTGGAATTAGTTCAATAAAGTGACAGACATTAAATTAATTAAGTTAAGTTATCTACCCTAATATATTTTTGAAATTAAAATTGGATTCTAATTTGATATTTAATTAGAATTGATTTTAATTAAATTGTCTCGTCCTAAAATTTTATGGAATTAGAGTTGGACTTTAATTTAACATTTAATTAAAATTTGATTTTGATTAAATATATTTTCTATAACATCTTGAAATTAGAGTTAGACTCTAAATTGATATTTAATTAAAATTTGATTTTAATTAAATAAATCCGCTAATTAAATTAATTGATTAATTAATTATTTAATTGTTCCTATATATTTATCTAAATTAGTCTAGACAACTTTAATTACTAGAAACTTGAAACATATATGTATATAATATTAGTTATTATAGATGAATGTTTTATTAGTGGATGATTATGAACTCAAGTATGTGATGTGTTGAATGGGTAATTTTATTCTTATTGTTATATGGGCCCTGAGCTCTTGTTTATTTTGGATATACGAGTTTGTTGTAATTTTTGGGGCAACATGTCCAATCATTTAGGCATGCATGCCAATTAGTATATGATACATGTTGCAGCTAAACTAATTGAAGAAATAAGAAGAGGATGAGACAATAGAAATGGAACATTGTATGAGTCAATGCAATACCACATATGAACTGACTAACTAATCTTTCTTATGACTCAAGAAGACTAGATAGTAAAAGTTCATAATCGTCCACACTATTATATATATGTTTATTTGCATGTTAGATGTGTAATAATATATATATATAATTATTACGATGATATCTTTGCATGAAAACCTCTTATTAAAATATTAAGTCAGACTTATTATTCGACTTCCACATTATAATGAAAAATCAGCATCCTTAATCGATCTCAATTTGTTTGAGTACACTCAAGGCTAATCTATCATGGACATGTCTGACACTATGATATATTAGATACTTCTGAATGATGAGTTCGACTTAACTAAAGTTGATCATTTGTTGACTATACTCAGGGGGTGTTTGTTTTTGATTTGAGAATTGATTCTCAAATCAGTTCTCATTTTCAACCACACATTTTTCAATAAAATAATATTTTCGATCACATCAATAATTTTTTCTTCTTTTTCAACCAGACGTTTCCCATCATATCACTATTCAAAATCAATTCTTCCCCCAAAAATCCCTACCAAACAAGCTCATAATGTTGCCCTTTTCAACTCAAATCTATCTGGCCGTTTCAATTATTTTTCGCTGCATCTTTGCCATAGTTTAGGGATTAACGATTTGCAGGAGAATTTTGAAGAGGTTCATGTTTTGAGTTCTGTTTTTGCTGTCTGTTAGTATGTCATACTTTGGGCCAAATGCTTTATGGGATTCTTTAATTTTTTGAAAATGAAAAATTAGACACCAATGTCTTAGTTTCTATTTCGCTGAGTTCCATGTTCTTTTCTTACTTCATCTATCCACCGTCTACTAAATTTGATGTTTAAAGTATTAATTCCAGATAGAACAGGATTACAGAACATGATGGGGTGGGATGGTGGCTGCCTGCATGTAGTTGCTGATATATCAAGACATGCTACTAAGAAACATGAATTTTTCATTGCATATAACAAATTTTTGAACAGTTAAAATA